AAAGGCGTGCGCCACCACCGCCCGGCTTATTCTTGATTATAAATGCCTGGTCTTAGCTTGGCTTGTTTCTTGCCAGCTTTCCTTAATTTAAATTCTCTCATTTACTTTTTGCCGCTGGGCTTTTATCTTTCTCTATTCCTGTTACCTTTTCTTTCCTTCTTACTCCATGTCTGGCTGTGTAGCTGGGTGACTGTGTGGTGGTCTCTCAAGTCTTCCTCCTTCCTTCTTCTTTCCTCCAAGATTTCTTCTTCTATATACTCTCTCTGCCTGCCAGCCTCATCTATGCTTTCTTCTGCCTTGCTATTGGCCATTTTCAGTTCTTTATTAGACCATCAGGTGTTTTAGACAGGCACAGTAACACAGCTTCACAGAGTTAAAAAAAATGCAACATAAACAAAAGTAACACACTTGAAAATAATGTTCCCTAACACATATGGATTTCAGGGGAACACAATTTAGAGATTATGGTAATTTGCTGATAGGAACCTGTACTATACTTTCCAACTCCTAAGTAGAGAGCTCATTCTGATTGTGGTATATTTGCTGGGATGGAATTCAGAGTCTGTATTGTTTGATTAGAAGTGATAACTTGTTAAACTCGTGATCACTGATAAATTCAATTAGACTTTATAGCTACCAATGGAATGTATTTCAATGCCAATGTGCTCATTTTCTGATAGAATATTAAGCAATAGTATGCATTCGGTTCACATGTGTATTCTTTCTCCTTTTCTAGAACAATGATCATATTTAACATTGAAAACTTTCCATGATAGTGTACATTTGTATGGCCTCCTCAAATGGTAAAATTACAATGGTATATCAGATCAAATTAAATTAAACTTAGGCTGTTAGGTGGAAGTGAATGTTGGACTAGGGCTGTAGCTTGTGGTGGTAGAGTCTTGTTTATGGTGTGTGAGGCTCTGGATTTGCTCTAGCAAAACAAAACAACAAAACAAAGAACAAAGCAAGACACACAAAGGGGAATGCTTGTGCTTATATCTCACAGCGGATAGACACTAACTTGGAATTCCTGTGGTACTGTCATGCTCCAGTGTCTTTTCTTCACCAGGAGATACACTTTAATGTCATTATGTGCTATTTGTAGCAGTCCTTGAAAGGTATTTTATTTATATTAATTTATATCAGTATTCTCTTATAAGAGTTAATATAATAATTTTGAGAACATTAAATCCCTTTTCAGGGATACACTTGACTCCCTTTTATTTCTTCACTAATAACTGTGGCTATGACAACATCATATGAAATTTACTTTAAAATGTTTTAGTTTGGCTATCTTTGATAGTTTTGATGGCATTTTAGTCACAGCAAAAGATGCTTCTGTGTTCTGTTGAGTGTGAAATCAGAAGAAGAAACTCTAAAGATGAGTGTGAAATCAATGTACATAGGCATGTATTCTGTATTATCACCTTACTCAACATTATCATAAGTAAACACACATCCTTTTGCTTTCCATGTAGCTGATTCTTTCTTAGAAAATTTTAAGAAGAAATGTGATACAACAATTATAAAAAGCAAATATTAATGACATATCAAGGTAATTAAAAAATTACTTTCCTATCGGCTTCCATCAGGGGTTTCCAGAAAAGTCTCAGAAGAACTTGCTTAAAAAAATAAAAGAACAAAACCCTTTTTAATTAACTTGAGAAGTGTCTCAGGGCACCGTAAGTATGCACACACTCCAGAAGCAGCTGGTGGCTTCCGTATGTCAGCGATGTCTTCACAAGGGCAAGACCAAGGTAATGTGCACCGTAGGAATATGGTGAGAATTGAGTGATTCCAGAGGGATTGTAAGCATAGAAATCAGATTTTTTTGACATGAGCTTTGCCACAGCGTCTCCTGATGTCGGTCCTCAGCCAGCTAGCTGCTTCAGAGCCCCTTGTATGGCAAAGTTGTCACTAGGGCGGTCCTTCTCTGGCTCCTCCCTGGGTGGTGTTTCCCCTGACCTAGGGCTTCTTATAAACATGCTTTCTCTTCATAACATGTTCTCCTCAGAGATGGGTCTAAGAGAGGCAAAATTGTAGTTAGTTTTATGATATTAATTGGCTCTGTTTGCCTTTATATTAGGACTCTGATAATCAGATTGCAATATAACTGGACAGCACATCATTTTATAAAATAGACCAAGTGTTCCAGCAAGTCTCATCAGAAGAGACTCATTCCAAAGAGAAAGCCACAGGATGCAGAAACATAATAAAAGCCCATACGTGTGGGCTATCATTTCAGAGTTCCTTACTTCTGAGATGGGGACAGAACAACAGAAAAACAATCTGTTGGTTAACATCGGGTTATTTTATCAGATCTCTGCTGTGCGAGCTTCTGGCAGAGGGAACTTCATTATTATGGTGACCTGAGCTGGCTGGCCTACTTGGAAAACTGGCTGTTACACTTTCGTCTGATCCCTTGGAAGGTCAGATATATAGCTCCATTTTGGCATTGTGGTCATAACTCCGGTGTTATTCCATCTGAGTTTTAGGTTTTTCGGGCCTGAGTTCAGGAGCTTAAATGGAAGAGAATGGCTTCCTGTGACTTGTTTTTAAAACCTGTAACACCAAGAAAGTGCCACAGGGCAGGAGCAGATGGAACCTTCTGTATCTTCCACAGTGCATTGTATATTGAAACAGATGAAAGATTTGTGCGGTCTTTAAGAAAACCAGAAGGTAATAGTATATTTTAAAACCCTTAATTTATGCTAGACAAAACAAAACATATTGACTTCAGGATGGGGGAATCCAATTAATAAAGATTTTGGTTTTCCTTTGGGATACTAACATTTGAATAGCATGATACCTGAGACTTTATAGCCACTTATACACACACACACACACACACACACACACACACACACACACACACACACACACACACACACGCATACTGTCCTGAATATATATATATTTTTCCAGCAGCCCTGGCTGTCTTCAAACTGACTTTGTAGACCAGGCTGGCCTTGAATTCACAGAGATCCACCTGCCTCTGCCTCCTGAGCCTGGATAGTTTGATGTCAGCTTGACACAGCTGAAGTCATCTGAGAGGAGGGAGCCTCAATTAAAAAACGTGCCTTCATAAGAGCTATCTGCAGGCGAGCCTGCTTGTCCCCACTTGTCCAGTCATCTGACCATGTCCCCGGAGGGCCTCACGCTCTCTCTCATCTCGGGACCGTGGCACTTGCATCTCTCTTTTTTCTTCAAGTTCATTCATTTTGACTACGTCTAATTCATACTTCAGCTGAAATGCCACTTCTGAAAAACCGTCTTCTCCCGCTTCCCATTCTAAGACCCATTTGATTCATTTTTCTCATCCCTCGTTTCTGGCATTTAACACTTTACCATTTAACAGGCCCTTTCAGTGTATGTCACTTGCAGATGTAAGCAGAGATTTTTGCATGAATTACTCTTCTTGTTTCAGTGACAAAAAAACCAACAAAAGTAACTTAAAGAAGGCGGGGTTTATTTTGGCTTCCGGTGTGAGGGTGTGATTCATCATTGCTAGGACGACAAGATAAAAGTACATGATGGGGATGGTCACATTGGATCTGTAGTCAGGAGACAGGTGAATGCTGCTGTTCATCCTGCTTGCTTGTTTGAATTCAGTCCAATAATCCCAGCCATGAGATGGTGCAGGTCTCCATTCAGCTTGATCTTTCCTCCTCAGTTAGACTGTCTGGAATCACTCTTCTCTATATATCCATGGCCGAGTTTTCATGGTGATCCCAAATCTAGTCAAAAAGCTAAGGGGATATCTCAGCAGATAAAGTGCTAGCCATGTAATTGTTACGACCCAGAGTTCAGTTTCTCGGCACACATGTAAAACAAAATAAAAAAGCCAGTGTTGTTGCATGTGCCTGTAATCCCAATGCAAGCAGAAACAGAAGGATCCTGCAGCCTTGGTGGTCAGTCAGCCTAGCTGAATTAGCAAGATCTTGGCTCTTTGACAAACCCTGTCCTGAAAAGTAATGTAGAGAGCTACTGAGTTAGAAATCTGATTTTGATCTTTGGTTTCCACATGCATGAACACATACGAACACATACATACATATGCCATACATTAAAAACAAGCAATTATAAATCAACAGATAAATAGCACACCAATTATGATTAGTGCAATTGGGTTGACAATAATGACTACCCATCATGCTTCTTTTGAATGACTATAAAATAAGAGGGCAGAGGCTGTGTTCACACATTTGATATGTTTCCAGTGGTAGCACATAGTAGACTCTCAACAAATGTGTGATTAGCAGATAAACCTGTATCAGTGACTTCTAATTCACACACAGTAAAACTGCAGTCCGAAATGTTCAAGTCAGTGGTTTTCAGTGTGGTCACAGACTTGTGCAGCCGTCATCACTGTCTAATTTTAGAACATTTTCATCACTCCCAGAGAAACCCTAAACCCACGAGCAGTTACTTTATTGCATTTGCTTGCATTCTCTGGAAACCACCAATCTACTTCGTGTCTCTGTGGATATGTTTTTTTTTTTTTTCTGGAAATTTCATCTAAACAGAATCATACAATACATGGTGAATGCTTTTATTTAGAGTAATATTTTCAAGGTCCATCTGTATTCCAGCGTGTACTGGTTCTCTGCTGCTTTTTATTGCTGAGTTTTATAAAGGTTTATCACATTTTATTTCTTATTCATCAGCTAATGAACATTTGAGTTGCTTCTGCTCTATGTTCAATAGAAAATATTCTCTGGAGGTGTTGGTATTTATCTTTTGTTTTCCTGGGTTTATAACAAGTAGTGGAATTGACGGGTCATGAGGTAACTATTTTTAATATGTATGTGTATGCGTGCTTGTATATGTGTGTACACATTTGTTTATAGGCATGTGTGTGAGGATGTATGTGGAGGCTGGAGGTCAACATCAGGTATCTCCCTCAGTAGCTCTCCATTGTAAGTTTTTGAGACAGGGTCTTTCACTGAACTTGGAGCTGGCTGATTTGGCTAGATGTGCTGGTCAGCATGTCCCTGGGAATGCTCATCTCCACCTCCCTCACCCTGAGATTTCAGGCTCCCGCTGCGGTGCCTGAATTTAACACAGGTGATGGATTTTAACTTGGGCCCCCATGCTTCTGCAGCGGGCAGTTTCACAACTGTGTTAATTACTTTTGTGTTGCTGTGATAAAGCACCATGACCAATGCAACTTATGGAAGACAGAATTTATTTGGGCTTATGGTTCCAGAAGGCAAGAGTCCATAATGCCTGCAGGCAAGCATGGTGGCTGGAGCAGGATGCTGACAGCTCAGATCTTGAACCACAAACACAAAGCAGAAAGAGTGAACTGGAAATGGTGTGAATCTTCAGACTTTCAAACTTCCTCCAATAAGGCCACACCTCCTAAACCTCTGCCCAGCCGTGCTACCACCTGGTGACCAAATGTTCAAATGCGTGAACCTATGGGGAGCATTCTCATTAGTGCCCCCGCTGCAGCTCAGCTGTTTCCGCGGTCTTATTTCAAACGTTTTGAAGAACTTCCACATTTTCTAGAGTAGCACAATGACTAAGGAGACCACAGCGGAATGTATTTCACTAGTAAAAACAGTTTCATTCTGAAGTATTCAGGTAGGGGCACAGAGACCCTGGGAAAGAACTAATTTCAAATTTGCAATTATCATAAGGAAATGTGGGAACTTATATAGCAAAAGATATTGAGAATAGTGTGAGGTTGTTGCCAATGTGGTTTAACAAGACCCTTGTCAATCCTGATAGATACAAGGATTAACAAGAGGTCAGGCCTCTAGAAGTTGAGGCCTCACTGGGGGAGCGACCTGCGGAACCTGCCTTGATTGATCAAGGAGACTTTTTTTCTTACTTGACACAGACATCCAGGTGTTACCTCTTCACATGTGTAAGCAAAGAGGCTTGCCTTCAAGGCTCTTCCATTCTACACAGTGATGTTTGCTCAGTGTCTAGCAGTATTGGTTGATTTGGTGTAGCTAAGTGGAGATGCAATTGGGAAAGCATTTCCTTAATGCTGGTAAAGCCACTTCATTTTCTTTCCTTTTTAAATTTTTTTAGATCTATATGGTAATATTTGGCAAGTCTGATAATTTAGTCTTCTTTGGAAATCTACTTTATCCATAAAGAGTAAAAAGAACATCATATATCATCTAATTCACAGTTTAGAACACACATCACAGTTAAACTACTGTTCTTTTGACTTCCTCTGCCTTTCTTTCCCCTTTTTCTTCTTTGTTTCTTTCCTCTTGTCTTCCTGTGCCCATGGCTTCCGTACAGTACAGCACGTTTCCTGTTTAGTTACTTGTCCCACTTACCCAGACATAGTGTAGGATGATGCTTCAAAACTAACTGGCAACAATTATTCTCCCAAAGTATTTCACCCTGTGTTTTTGTACTTCACCACCACCCATCCACAACATACCACATGCCTTCAGTTACTCCAGTTCAGGTTGATTTTAGTAACTTAGCAATGCTGCCTGTCTTGGGAAACAGAGAACCCAGTTGTTACTCCATTAGAAAAATGAAGGCCTGTGAGAGAGAGACAGAGCTTGAGTTTCACCACAGTTAACTTTTCCTGTGTCGAGGACCTAAGATGTACTGGCTTCTGTTGTGCATACTTCTATCACAGGAAGTAGAGTCAAATAATGATAACTGCTCAGCTTATATTAATATCCGTGGTGCATGTCTTTTCCTTACATGGCACTCATTCTGTGTATTTCATATGCTATTTCGCCTTTCACTTTGGTAGCTGTGATTTTAGAGGGTGTGAACGGAGAGCAGCTGGGGAAGGATGAATACCCAGAACCTAATGCTGGGACTAGCATACTGATGCAGATCTTTTGAAGCATATTAAAAAGAAAAAGCCCTGTGGAGTGGAAGAAGACCAATTTGCATTAACATGTGGTGCTCCTCCAGGAGGTGCTTGGCCTCAGGAAGCAGCATTTTGCTCTCAGGCTGCCAAATGCTTCAAGCCAGCTATCTAAGCACCACTGAGATGAAAGAAAGAAAATGATTATTACATATTTTGTTTTAAAAAATATACCAGTAATTTTTAAGTTTAGAATATTAATAATACCCCTCTGTTTGATACTTGGCATCCTATTTTTAGAATAAGAATATATATAAATGTCTAGACAACAAAGGATAATTCTCATTTAATTGAGGATTTTTTTCAAATTCATATTTCCTAGAAGAATAATTATTTGATGCAATAAGATGGATTAGATGGGAGAAAAGCATATTCATATTAAGGTACTCTTTAAGATGTTTTATGGATCAGCTAGTGTTGAAGGTCTCTTTTGAGACATTTCAATTGGTGTCATTTTATAACTTCCAAATGGCTTACATAGAGATTCTGGAATAGAAGAAATAGCAAGAGAATAGATTAGATTCAGAATCTATGTGGAAGAGGAATTACTAGAGAAGGTAAAGGATGTGAGGGGGAGTAACAGGGTGGATACAATCAAGGTATGTTTTATACATATGAAAATGCAGCAGTGAAGACCACTATTCCATATAATTAATATGTGCTGACAATAAAAATAAATGTAAAAAGAGAAAATGATCTATGTTATAACAACTAAGCAATTTTACTCAGTTCAGCTGGAAACCAAGTTAAATTAGTCTTGAGCTACTTGGTAATAGACAATTTGATTTCAGAAATGCCAAGTTCCTTCAAAAATCACATTTTGTACTTAGTGTTGTTTTCTCTTAGAAAACCTTTTAATTTTGCATTTATTTACTTTTGGTTATTTTTTTTCCAGGAATCCTATTGGAGAATTCATATTCTAAAACTAAATGTGGAACATTATATATGCTTCCTCATGGAATTCACTGCAAGTTCCATTGACAACCTACTCCAGGCTAGAGAGCCAACAGTTTAATTACCACCTATTGAGACGGATTTGTCTAGGCAGAGCTAACTCCTTCTAGTAGGGGCAAGGCTAGTGAGCAAGAGCCAGGAAAGAAATACAGTCACTTCTGCTAGTCCAGCTTCAGTGTGTCTGTCAGGTCAGGTCCGGAGTCCAAAATAGTATTCAGACATAGATGTAGTCGGAACACAGGAAACACAGCAGAGGGAGTCCGAGACAAGGAAAGCTGAGCCTGTGAACCAAGAGTCACAGACTCACAGTTCTAGAAGTCTGGGCTTACTCTGCCAAGCACCCAGCAGGAAACAGGGAGGCGGGGCTTTGGAGGTGGAGCTTCAGAGTCGGGGCTTCAGTTTCTGGAAAGGGTGGGGTAAAAGCAGGTGATGGAATGCCTGCTGGGAAAGGAGTCAAAAGAAACTCAATAATGAACGGGGAGAAATCAGCAAGCTATTTAACCCTTTCCGTAGCACTGGGGAAAGTAACCACATCCAGACCCCCAACTTTGTAAGCACACTAGGAGCAAGTTTGACAAAAAGAATGTAAGTTTACATATATCTGTGAGTGCCCAGGACTGATTAGTACATAGTGTATAGAGTGAGGACGTGACTGCGCCAAGGTAGGGTTGAGGGGAAGGTTTTGATTGTAGATATGAACAGCCAAAGGCATCTGGAAGAGTCCAGAGCAGGAAGAGAATGCGGTAGACTGAACATGGCCAGTGGATTGAACTGGGCCTTGAGAGAAGAGAGGCTGCGGGGAGCGAGAGGGGAAGACAAGGGAGAGTGAGGAGGAGATAGGGCCAGGAGAGGGGATCAGGAGCCAAGAGAGCAGAGGGCTGAAATAGCAAGGTTATATAGGCAGGAAAGAAACCATGAGCTGGCGAAGTTTAGGGGACGGGGAGGGGTGAAGAGAGTTGAGAGGAGTCACAGGTACTGAGGGAGCCTGGAGGCCAGCAGACACTTTGGTAGGATAATAGGCACCACAGTTAGCCATTTGTCCCAAGTTTCTTTTGAACCTGAGTGTAGACTTATTTGATACAGTGTGACTTGAAATAATACATCAAGCTACCACATGAATAAGATGTTGGGAGATTAACTTCTTAAATCTTTGTAATGCTGTCAGCTAAAGTTCAGGAAGCCAGCATTAGGCAACAGGACACTTTTTTCCTCACTGGCTTATGCTTAAGTGTGGATGGAGGGTGAGTGGAAGGGCCTATTTGCCAGTAAGGGGAAGACCTGGGCTAACACTGTTCTTTGCATTTGCACACTTCTCAGTAGAGATTTACAGTCTGGTAGACTGATTTCAAGTTAATCAGTACTAGCACTGAATGAGCTAGAAGACCTCAGTTTGGGTTAATAGTAGATTTATTACTTTTAACTAAGACTAGCTGATTTTCTTTAGTTTAATTCCCAGTAACTGAACATTTAGAATTCTTCCTTGGAGATGAGGGTGATTCCAGTGAAATGCTAATCAGATCAGAATAATCGTTATTTCTTCCTAAACATTTTTATGAAGAATAAAAATGAAAACAATTACCTCAAATGTCACAAATCTATTAAAATACGTCTTTTTGATTGAAAAGTATACTTATGACTAGTTTCCTCCATGTTGTTTAAGTGCATGCACTCATAGTTCAAGGCTTAGAATATTTTATTTTGAGCATGTGTGGTAGACAGTTGAGTTCATCATGCTGACATGATTTTCTTTGTCCTGTGGCAGAAGTCATAGCTGTGGGAATAAAGGGGTCGAGGTGGGTGAGATAGTTGAAATGGAGTCAGGTGACATGTTTCTTTGATCCCCAGTTAAGACATTTAGACTAATCAGAAGACTGAGAAGTCGGAGGCCATGGTAGCTGGCTGTCTTCCTGCAGCCCATCTCTTTGGAAGCCTGGGAGCAGCCGGGGGTCCCATGGTGCCTCTCACTCCTGTCACTTGGTGCTCCTTCATGCTCCCAGGAGCAAGCATGTCTGTCCGGTGAGGACAGAGCCACAGAGGAGTTGGTCCCTGTCTTCTCCTCCCTCTCCTTACTTAGAGTGTTCTGGGGCCATGCTGCAGCACTACAGGGGAGGGAGGATCAGAACACCTCATTTTAAAATGGGTTGTAAAACAAAGAAATACAAATAGTCTTGATAAATTGGCGGCAAACTGGAAGTAGACCTCTCTTGCCCAGATTATCATTTACTAATTAACTAATCAAGATGCCTGTTCAAAAATGAGCTCATCTGTTGTGTGAGTATGTGGATATATACCCCAAACTCCATTCGGACTTCTTTTGAGAATTCTGAATAACTTGTACGCATTGCCACACTTTTCTAATACACCCTTTGAAGAAAGAAGGAAGTATCCGCTGCACACGTGCGACTAACTGTGGCTGACACAAATTTCTTCGGAGCCCACAGGAATGACTTTCAGGGATCTTGCAGTTCTGCTGCTACAATCCTATGAACATGCTGCAGCCGAGGTATTGTGATATAAAAGCTCTGGAGGAGATTGCCGTGTGTTTAACAACTTAAGAGCAGATAATATGCAGCTGAAATAATAATAATCGTTATTGTAGGCAGCGTGTGGGCTTGTTTCTTTTTAAGCGAGTCTGAAAAATTCATGTTACCAGGCTTTTGGATTTTGTAATCTCTGAGAGGGGGTGTCACAGTTTAGGTTGTGAAAGAGATTCACTTGTAAGAGCTTTTTATTTTAGGAGTTAACACAAATTTGTAAACTGTTAGTTTAATTCCTGTACTGACTTATCATTATCGTAGAGCTAAAAAGAACTTCACAGTGTGAATCCTTCAATTTGTTATGAGAAAAATTGATACAGAGATGTGAAATTATTGACTCAGGAGAAAGTCAAGCTTGACCATTTCTTTCTAGGACATAGCATGCCACATCACTGCCAGGGACTAAGGACAGAACAAGAACCCGTCGATGCAGCTATTGCGTACGTAGCAGTTTTACACAGCACTGGCATGGAATTTGAAGCTTAGTTTCCAGTTCTATAATGTTGAAAATACAACTTGGGCTTAATGCCACAGGCTTGTGATCTAGCCTCTTGGGAGGCTGAGGCAGGAAGACTGCAAGTTCAAAGGCAGTTCAGGCTACCCAGTGAGTTCCAGGGCAGCCTGGACAGCGTCTTAAAGTAAAAATAAAAAGAGGGCTGGGACTGTAGCTCAGTGGTTGCTTAGGTGCTAGATTCACTCTCTAGTATAGAGGTTCTCAACCTTCCGAATGCTGCGACCCTTTAGTACAGTTCCTTCTGTTGTGGTGACCCCCCAATCATAAAATTATTTCCATTGCTACTTCCTAACTATAAATTTTCTATGGTTATGAATTGTAATGTAAATGTCTGGTATGCAGGGTATCTGATATGTGACCCACAGGTTGAGAACCATTGCTCTAGTACCATAGAGAATAAAAAGTTACAGCTGGTCACTCCCACGGCTTAGCAGTAGAGTAGAAGGATTTTAGGGACTATGATACATTTCCACAGCCTTCATTTAGGAGAAGTGCTGGTATAGTGGTGATAGTCCAGCCTATGGCAACACAGATTTGCTACACTTACTTGGTTATCATGTGAGCATTGCAAACCCACATTACTGTGCTGCCCTGTCTGTACTGGGATTATTATGCTATTACCATTCTACTACCACACAGCAACTTGCACTGAACAATGCTGCTTAAAGCCCAGAGCCAGACAGAACTTGATGCCCAGCTGGATGGAGATGAATGGCAGCTACATGGTGTGAGCAGGATGCTCTACGTAAGGGTCACTCCTGCTATTATGAAGCTTGAAAGAGAAAGAACAAAAAGAGTCATGGTTGCATGGATGTTTTTATGGATGATGAAGTTTGAATTAGCATATGCAGAACACTCCAGGACAGTGAATGTCCAGTCTGTTAATTGTCTAGAGGGCATTGTTTCTTCGCACTTCATTTGCCTTGTAATTAGCTGTAGCTCAGTAGTGAAGTCATGACATGGCATACAGTAGCACCGAAGGAAGGGGACCTTGCCTGGGTGGGTGATACTGTGCAGTGCATTCTGCATATTAAATCGGTCACTGGCTTCCTAAGTGGTTCTTTTTCTGGCTTGGGAACAGCTTTTATGTTCCTGAATAGATCTCTGTGGCATCCATATGTAGTACTAAATGTATTGAGACAAAGAACTCCGGAAGAGTGTGTCTAGGACTGTAATGTTAAGAATGTTTCAGCGTTCAGTTTCTGTCTTTCAGAAGCTGAGATTCGGGCACACAGACACATGTGATGCTGTTCTTAGTTGTTCTAGAAAAGCCAGGAAGGTCTTTTTCTTGCCATTGATGTTTTGTGTGCTCTGTTAGATTATTCTTAAGATATTTATCTTAGTTTAAACTGAATTTAAGTGTGCTTTTAAAACTCTCTACAAAAAAAAAAAAAATCCTCTCTACATCCTTGCTTTAGAAAATGTCTTATTGCTTGATCTTTATCCTTTGCATTTTGGGGGAGTTTTTTTTTTATTTGGTTTAACAGATAATACATGTATAGTTATGGTTTATGAATATTAGAGGTAAATACGTTCACATGCCCACTATTATCTCTTTAAAATTAATTCTTTGATGTCTAGAGAGTGTCAAAGAATCCCAGAAAGATACTTGATTCCCATGTAAAAAGTCCTGGAATTGAGAAGTAGATGAGCAAGAGCTCATTAGATTTATAGAGTGATTTTAGTAAATAAATTTCAGAGCTAATTTCCGGTTTATTTTAAATAGGTGATATTTTAGCATTAAACACTGTATTTGTGTTCAAGAGATGCCTGTTAACACGTTTTCATACTGCCCCTATTTATTCCACTTAGTTTTTCTGTCCATGGACTGCTCTGAACAGAGAATATCATCCCCAAGCTGAACGCAAAATGCAAAATATACTCAAGCAGATTCTAGGAAATGCTCAGCAGTGCATGTCGATGTTGTTGGAAAGAAAGGGTCCAGTGATGGCCCAACATGCCTTCCATTTCTTTCTTTCATCTCTAGCTGGAAAAAAATAAATTATACTAGTTATCGTGTTTCAAAATAAAAGGAAAACATCACCAGAACTTGAAAAATATGAAAGGATATTATTTGAAATATTGACAAAACAATAATTATATGACTGGAACTAATTTATAATTTTACTCCCTCCTTTTTACTTAGTTCATACTAAGTCCTGACATGGCCTAGGAACACTTGCTTTTCTTCCTAAAATTCATTGCATGGAGGGTAATAATTTATAGTTGGCATACTTGAGTGTTTGAATCTTAAGTCGTCCTTAAATTATTTAACTTTTTAACGGTTTGGATCTGGTATGTTTAGACATATGTATACAATTTACTAAACTTTCCCTAGGTTATTAACTATTTCCTTTATACTGCAACATTTTTGTAGAAATTGTATTAAATGTAACTTGTAGCAGAATTTTTATTCATTTCATTTATCTTAACTGCTATAGATAGATAATTTTGAGTAAGCAAGTCTTGTAAGGTTTTTTTTTTTTTTTTGAGATGGCTTTTCTATGTAGCCCAATCTAGTCTCAAACTTGGGATCTTCTGCCTCTGTCTCTGAAGCCCTGGAATTATAGCCATGATTCCATACCTGGTGACTTTTAGAATGTGGATGATTCCACAGGCCTCTTTATTTTCAACTAGTTTTTATGTTCAGCTCAATTGTTAGAAGTACTTGATGTTCTTCCAGAGGATCCAGGTTCAGTTTCCAGCAACCACATTGTGGCTTATGACCACTCCAGTTCCAGAGGCCCCAGTGCCCTCTTCTGAACACAGGTGCCAGGCATGCACATGGTGCACATACATACATGCAGGCAGAACACTCATACATATATAAATTTTAAAAATTTAAAACAACAGAGCAAGCAGGCAAAGCCTCACTTTCCTCCAGCATCCTTCAAGTTGGAGTTTTCCTGAATATTTCTTTGCAGCAACAAGGTTCTTGTTTGATTATCTCTGCAAGTGTGGGTCTGTCTAATATTTCTCATTTTTTTATTTATTATGTATGTAGTGTTCTCCCTATATGTATACCTGCATGCCAGAAGAAGGCATCAGATCCCTTTATAGATGGTTGTGAGCCACCATATGGTTGCTGGGAATTGAACTCAGGACTTCTGGAAGAGCAGTCAGTCTCTTCAGCCTCCCTTCCCATCCTTTCTAAATCTGGTTTTGCCTATGATGAAACCTGGGAAATATCCTTTAAATAGTGTACACGTGTTGTGTCTTTTTGCTTTTCATTCTTTGGAAGATGTTTAAACCAGTAGTTGTACCATGTCATGTGATATGTCTCTCCACTTGTGTCCTTTCCTATTACTGAACAGTGTAGCTTGAGTTTTCCTGCCTGGTCCACAGTCAGGACAAATCTCTCTCACCTGCCAGTCCCACAGCCACTCAGACCCGACCAAGTAAACACAGAGACTTATATTGGTTACAAACTGTATGGCCGTGGCAGGCTTCTTGCTAACTGTTCTTACAGCTTAAATTAATCCATTTCCACTAATCTATACCTTGCCACATGGCTGGTGGCTTACCGGCATCTTCACATGCTGTTTCTCATCATGGCGGCTGGCAGTGTCTCTCCGACTCAGCCTTCCACTTCCCAGCTTTATTCTCCTCCTTGTCCCGCCTACACTTCCTGCCTAGCCAATGGCCAGTCAGTGTTTTATTTATTGACTAATCAGCAACACATTTGCCATACAGAACATCCCACAGCAGAACAGTATCTATGGCTTTTACATGCATGATCCTTCTTTGCAAAGCAGTTGCCTAGGACACTAAGCAATTTGCTGTATTTAGTATAATAGTTATTATTATTTTTCTAACCTGACACTCAGTGTCCCTTGTATTGTCTCCATCAGTGACAAATTTTTCTTTAGAGTAAACCACCAACTTTCTCCCAGATAACAGTCATCCTAGTTCTTACATAGAAAATATTCTGTTAAAATTCTGGAATTAAAAATCAGAAAGGAAATGAAAAGCCAACCAAGAGACGCCTCATCAACTGAGACAGATGAAAGATTAATGGACTTACTGAGGAAAGTTTTTATAGATGAGTGACATTCCAGTAGGAGAAACAGCAAGCCACACATACCAGGGGTTATCAGAGCGGACCCTAGGGAAAATAAGCATGAAAAATTTAGTATACTAGTAATCCCCCGCCCCCGACTGATTTTCAATTTGATGCTGCACGTATTCTCAATACAGAAAATTTAGTAACAGCTTAAATTTCCAGTGGTAGAAATGCTCATACAAATTAGGCAAAACCTTCAAAAGGAAGCATTACTATTAAAATATATTTTCAGAGAATATTTAATGACATTAGAACATGGTGACAAAATGATTTTAAATAAATTAAAAAGAGTGGTACCGAGCAAAGAATGAGAGAAAGGAGCTAGATCTTCCAGTGCCCATACGCATGTCCAGATTGTTAGTGCTGTCTCCATGTCAGCCACTACATTTCATGTCGACATATAGCAAGATAAGTGAACAGAGACAGAATAGCATGACCAGGCTTCAGTGCTAATGATGGCCTTGAGGGAGGCTCAGTCGTTTGGCTCGTGTGTGGGTGATAAAGTGGTTGTGATCAACTCAGGTTAAGGTCACTCAGGCCTGTGGCGTCCACACTGAGGCAGCCCCTTGTACTCAGACCCAGAGGCTCCCGTGCCCAAGCACAGAGCCTGCCCTCGGAACAGCAGCTCAACCTTTCAGAAGTGCTGCTGGCGTGGGAAGCCCACCAGCAACGCTCAAGCTGAGCACTTTACCTCCTTCCATCTCTTCAGACATACTCTCAGGTTCTCAGAAGGAAGATACGTCCAAGGAAAGATAGTGCAGGCTTTGGGATCAGGAAAGCTGTGTTTAAATCGAATTTCAGCAGTCAAGAGCTGCATGTCCTTGGTGAGTCATTGAACTTGATAAACCTCGGTGTTTTATCCTTTAATAGTGTGTGTAATACTAACTTTGGCCGGGCTGTCTTGGAGGGTCGAATGACAAAAGCCATAGCTAAAATATATAACAGTGTCTGACACAGGATGGCATCCAGTAGATGGTCAGCAAACACCAGCTGGGTCTTTTCTCTGGGATTTGTGTTTGTGATGGATTAAAACAATTTGAAATTATGACCTGATAAGATCTTTTTTTGTCTTCACTAAAGTGATACTATATATTTTGTAAATATTAATCTGAATAATTTTGAAGATAACATTTTGAAAACCACTGTATTTTCTTACTAGTTAGTCATGTTAAATATTTTGTATAATTGTTTCTACGTCTGTTAATTTACATGATTTTATCTTGCTATCTCTTGGAAAAATGGCCTGTGCAGGTTATCACCAGCAATGCTCTGTGTTACTTTCTCTTTCTCTCTTTGGGTAAAAGTGGAGGAAGAAGAATTATTCCTTAATTTTCTGTATTAAAAATGGAAGTGAGGACACTGGAGGGATGGCTCAGTGGTTAGGAAAGACTGCTCTTAATGAGTACCCTAGTTCAATTTCTAGCACCCATGCCAGTGTTTCACGACTACCTGTAACTTCAGCTCCAAGGGATCTGGTGCCATCTTCTGGACTTCATGGGTACTGCACACACACACACACACACACACACACACACACACACACACACACGTATGATTAAAAATAAAATAAGTCTTAATCTTTGAAAACAACCTTGAATAGTAACTCTTTTTGCTTTTTGAATGCTTTTAGAATTTTAACTTGTTTAGTTTATTTATCCATGGGGTATCATGCAATATTTCTCTATTTGTATGTCATTATTAATGGTCAAATTGGGTTGTGTATAGCAGTCTTCTGAAAGCATTTATCCTTTCTTGGGGATAAAAACACCCACTATCCTATCTCCTAAGTTTTGTTTTGGTGCTGGTGGGGTTATGTAGTACCTTAGCATTTTAGCCATGATGATGTGAAACAGCACACCATCACGTATTTCTATCCACATATATCAGGACCCATTTACCAACCTGTTCCCAGCCCTCCCTCATCCTCCTATCTCCACCTTCTGTTTTACTCTTAAATACTGAGACCTACCTTCTTAGATTTCACATGAGTGAGGTCATCAGCTGTGAAGAAGCTTTTCGGTTTGGTGTTCCCCCTTTGTCTGTTTTTCTTGTTTTGTCTTTTTTTTTGCGGTCATGTCCAAAACAACAATTACCTATTCCAAGGTCCCAGAGAATATCATCAGTACTTCATCCTAGACGTTTCACAGTTTCAATTCTCAGGTGTTGTGGCAAATTTGAATGCATTAATAATAGACTCCGAATTACCCATAATCCATCAGTGTCACATAAGGAAAGAAATGAAAGCACTTCCCCACGGTATGATTTAACCAAGAGCAAGCCCAGATTTGACATCCTCCTTCACTTTCCAGTGTCTACCATTACTCCTGTCTGTCTGGTGTATGAGTCTGAATCTGCACCTGCCTCTAGGCTGTCTTGTGACTCTCTCTGTGTCTGTGTCTGATCCTGTGTGTCTGTCCCTAACAAGAGACTTGGCTTACTCTTTTATTGAACAGCACAGAAAGTATAACATGGAGAAGGAATGAGGGAGACTCTATAGAAATCCTTTACAGAATTTTACAAGGAATTAAGTACCTGACTCCAACTGACCCAGATAACGAACAGTATTACAAATATTGTTTATCAAGCTATATCTGTATGTGAGATACAACAATTGTGGTGGATATTCATTTTATAAGACCACATTCAGCCTATATTTGTTATTTCCAGCAAATGATTATCACAACACATATGCATTCCTCTGGGTCAGGGGCATGGAAGATAGATAATTTAAGATTACAGCGATGCATTAGCTTAAAAAGTTGATTTCATAGGAAATGCAAGGCAAGTTAGGTTGGCTATTACACTGCTCTTTTTTTTTTTTTTGTTGTTGTTGTTTTTTGTTTTTTCCGTTTTTCGAGACAGGGTTTCTCTGTGTAGCTTTGCGCCTTTCCTGGGACTCGCTTGGTAGCCCAGGCTGGCCTCGAACTCACAGAGATCCGCCTGGCTCCCAAGTGCTGGGATTAAAGGCGTGCGCCACCACCGCCCGGCACACTGCTCTTTTTAAGACAGGTTTAAGGCTGAGTACACAGTGGGATAGCAGTTTTCAGTGACTTCAAAGTTCATTATAAACTCTGGCTGTGACATCTATCTACAGTTCCAGTCTCTTAGAATGTTAGAATGTAAGAGCTATTTTTATCATAATGCATTGCCACAGTGTGTAAGTCTTTAATCTATTTTGAGTTGATCTTTTAACTGCTGAAGGAGATGGGTCTTGTCTCATTCTACTACATGTGAACATTCAACTTTACCACAACTATTTATTGAAAATACCCTTTCTCAATGAATATTGTTGACTCTCTTGGTAAAGATTAATTGGCTGTGGATAGATGGGTTTATTTCTAAATTTTCTATTCTCTTCTATTTGTCTATTTTTATGTACAATCTGTATTCTTTTAATTATAATAGCTTTGTAGCATATTTTTATTTAGTTAATATAATGCCCCATGCTTAGTTCTTTTTGTTCAAGATAACTTTGGTTGTTTAGGATAATGATGATGATGATGATGATGATGATGATGATGATGATGATTTGGTGTAGTTCTAGTCAATCTACCATTTAAAAAGAATTGATTTGGGCTGTTGTCATAGTGATGTAGTGTTTTACACTCCATGCACCATGGTAATACCTATTCACAATATTAGACAGGTACCTTCTGCGTTTGTGCTGCAGTTTCTTGGTATGAGGTTAATCACCACAGTCAGACTTAAAGATAGTGACTTTCATTAACATTGGGCTTTAGCCAAATGCTTCCCTGTCTCTAGAATACCTACCTTGTTTTTTCAGCTCTAGGTATCAGTTATGTGCTAACTAAGTATACACAACTTGTTTCTTTGGCTCAGAGGAATAGATCACATCCCAGTGAGGGATAGCAATGGCTGAAAACCATCTGAGATATAAGAATAGAGATGAAAATGAAAAATGTCACCCCAGGGACTGGGAACAAGTCTATCAGAGACAGCACTGAACATCTGGTATTTAGATGCATCTTTTATAGATTTTTTTTAAAGAAACTGGCTTATTGACATTTGAAAATCTCAGTGCTCCAGTTTTCATTGCCTCTCACCACAGTAACTATGTGAAGCAAGGTGCATTGAGGATTTATCCTTGGAGACTCACTTCCAGTCCTAGACCTGGAGAGAGAACGTTTGGAGCCCTCTGGCATAAAAATTGGCTATTTGGTGCAAATGTAAAGCTAAATATAGTAATAGAACTGGAAATAGTGAAGCTCTAGGCCTATTCTGGGCAGCTAGGCAAGGGATCAACTGAATTCCACTGCCCTAGCCTCCTGCCCTGGTGGCTCTCTTCTCCCGGGTTGTACACTCAGGATGCCAGAGGGGTATGGCTGTAACAGCTCTGTGTAGACCTTACATTGGAAAATTGTCACACATTTTGGGTCTCACTAAGAAGCTGGATCTGGAAGTGGGGTTGCCCCGCCTCCATTGCAGACCCTTCAACGTCTGGGCATGGGCTGGACTCTGATAGAGAGGGAGAGACCAGCAAAGCAGCCCAAGAGTGAACACACCGTGTCCTGGAGAACAGCCTGAAGATGAACCACTCCCGTAGATGTTACTGTTTTTTATCCCATCCACAGTAGTGCCTGCAGTGGGAAGGTTAGCCATGAAGAGTTCAGCATGAACTCAACATAAACCTCAGCCAGGAAGTCCACAGACACCTCAGTTTCCCAGTCCACTTCTAGTGGATTTGGTACTTACCCTTCCGTTATTGGTGTTTGCTTGGGAACCTCATGTGTGGGTCACTTGGCTCTGCCTGGGACTCTTCATATTGGGAGCTCCATCTGGCTACTTTAAAGGGACTTCCTCAGTGAGTTTCTGCGGGATAATTTTACCCAATTAGATAATGTGTTTCTTTCTGTTCCTTCCCTCCCGGCTTAGTACTTAATAAACTCAATCATTCAAAACAGAAAATATAGTTATTCTAGAGCAGTGGTTCTCAACCTTCCTAGTGCTACAACCCTTTAATATAGTTCTTGGTGTTGTGGTGACCTCAACCATAAAATTAATTTTGCTGTTACTTCATAACTGTAATTTTGCTACTGTTATGAATTGTAATGTAAAAAATCTATGTTTTCTGATGGTCTTAGGCAACCCCTGTGATAGGGTCATTTGACCCTAAAGGGGTCATGATCTACAGGTTGAGAACCAATTGTTCTAAATCATTCTCTGGATCATCCACAACAAGTTCCCAGCTTCTGGGTGACAGCTCTATCCTCAAAGAGAAGTAAGTAGTTTCTGAGCCTTTAGAGAATGAGAGAGAGAGAGAGAGAGAGAGAGAGAGAGAGAGAGAGAGAGAGAGACAGACAGAGAGAGAGAGACAGAAAGAGAGAGAAGAAAAAGGGAACCTGGAATTAAATGTGAGTTTTACCACCCTCTGGCCCGCAGTTACTTCTTTGGCCCAAACTGTTACCTTACCTTGAGGTAAGCTGTTTACCTGTAAGTCAGTGAGGGATTTTTAAAGCAAATCAGGTCATCCACATTTAATAGACAACACAAAGAGCAGAATGGAACAGATAGGAGTTATTTTTGTTATCTCATCTGTTAAAAAAGGAATACACATATGTGTGGTTATTAGGTTCAGAATCAAACCAGTTGAAATGCTGCACCTTCACTGTTTTTTCATTTTTCTTAAAGGTGTCTATAACAGAAGAGTCTCGGAGACATTTGACACACTTCTAATAATTAACCATATAGCTTAAACCTGTAGTGTGAGAATTAAAGTGTTTATTTCTCCATAGGGCCCCTTGTTCCCACTGTGGAACAGGGGTTTACTTGTTTAATGTACATGCATATTGTCTTCTCACTTGGGCCTTATTTCATGATGAATTGTCTTCATGCCAGACCGCCATACAAAAGCCCACTACCCACAGTCTCTACTCACCGGCAGTGTGACCTTGACCTCACTTCAACAGTGCTGCCTAGACTGTCCCTCTGTCTGATAGTGTCAAGAGCTACTATATACATCAGCTGAGTTTACTCCTGCTGCATCTAATATGCCCAACTCCTCACATTAGTTATATTACAGGAGCTGCCTCAGAAGTAGTTCTCCAAGCTGCCAGTTTTATCTACTACTCTGCTCCTGCTAGGCACTGGCTTCCCCATGTTTCAGGTCATGAATGGTAAATCCCTCCTCTTTGCCTTGCTACATCAAAGTTTTTGGAGTCTGATGTAACTCAGTGGTGGAGCCCTTGAATAGTGTGTGTGAGGCCTAGGGTTTGCGCTCCAGCACCACTAACAAATAAGAAGTCCACCTGACCTGGCCTTTCTTTACTGTACCTCCATGTACCTCATTCTCTAGCCTGATTCCTTGATGTGTGCGTGCACATTGCCTTATCTGCTTTCCTCCACTTCGGTCTCTTGTTTGCAGTTAGTCCCTTCAAAGCCCGCAAGGAACGACATTCTGATCTGTGTAGTTAGAGGCAGTCCCTGCTCCCTCTAGATTTATTTGATCTGAACCTTTCTGCTGGCATATGAACTATCCTGTGGTTTTTTCCATGGTCATCTCATTTCACTCTCTAAAGGTGGGGGGCATTGGTGTTATAAAAAAGGCATAAAAGTTAGAGGGGGACAAGTTTGGAGGATGAAGGGGGTCAGTGGGACAAAAGAAGATAAAAGGGACAAATTATAAAACACACTATATACATTTATGGAATTGTCAGAAATAAAATTTTTAAAAAGCGTAGACTCAGTCATTATTATTATTATTATTATTATTATTATTATTATTTTGGTTTTTTGAGACAGGGTTTCTCTGTGTAGCTTTGCACCTTTCCTGGAACTCACTCTGTAAGACCAGGCTGGCCTTGAACTCACAGAGATCCACCTGGCTCTGCCTCCTGAGTGCTGGGAGTAAAGGCGTGCGCTACCACCACCCAGCTCAGTCATTATTATAATATCTTATATAGTACTTCCAATTCTGGTTCTGTATTTTTGGATGAACTAAGTACCATTTGTATAACTAAATGAATTAGCTAATATTAATAAATGTAGAAGATTTTTTTGGGAAGTACAGATTTTTTTTCTACTCTTGTTAATGTCCTTCTTGCCTTTCTTGTTATTTCTGTGAATTTTATATTTAAGTTATTTGCTATAGCACATTACTGTTACCGATATTGTTAACCTCCAGTTAGGCAGTTCTCTAGGGCACATTAAGTAATGAATTCCTATATTCAACTTTGCAGCATGCAGTCTTCCTAAACCTAACCACTATAATATTCTTTCTATAATATTTTCTGTGTAAATTCCAATGATGGAGGATTAAGTGAGAAGTCAGCAACAAAGTCTCTCTCAAGATGATAGGAAGCTCTTGCACGTTTTGTACGGTTGACACTGTAGGCGCCCTCCAGTGTGAACACAAGAAACTCAGGGAGTGTTCTTTTCCATCACTCAGCACAGCTGTCCTAGGAGAACAAGGATCAGTCACTCAGTGATTCTCTGCTTGTCAAGAATTCAGCAGCCCAGCCTTTTCAACTCCTCAGCCGATAAGCATTAAATGAGAAAAAAGCCAATGCACAGAATACACACAGAAGAGCCTCAAAGGGTTACCAAAGACCCCTTAATTTTGGCTGTCAGTCACAGCTCTTATTTTGCACGATTCCAGTGCGTGTCCTTTGGGGCACTATTTCGGGGCTTTCTCAAAGGACCACATTGATGTACATTGTCTTCCACTCCAGCCAGAGCTGAGTAAAGAGTACCACAGGGGCACTCAGAATCCTAATAGCCTGTTGAATTGTTCCATGTCTGCTTCTCAAAAAATACCCAAAGTTCTTTAAGAACAAGAATTATACATCGAACACGTTTGAGTCCTCAGAACTTTATGCTGTGCCTGATGCACATTGGACACACGTAGCTCATTGAATCATAGCTGATTATTTACCTTTGAATTTACAACAGATTTTCAATAGCATGTCATCAAGGAGAGAAACCATATTAGAGCAGGCACACAATGAAAATAATGGTTGCTACTGGATCGGCACACCAAATGGTAAACGTGAACAGACTTGAAGAGTATTTCTATCCTGTATTACTTAAGTTTTTGGAGGGAAATAGTGTTTATTTCTGAATTAAGTCAGTTTCTGAAAACATTGCTACATGCTGACAGTAGTAGAGTTTGTGTCTATTTTGGTAGCGTTAATACTGAAAGAATGAAATACGTTAAAGACATTCCGTTTAAGGGTGAATTCAAGTATACACAATGCATTTTTGAACTATTTGCATATAAGTTGCTTTAAAAAGGAAAGTGTCTTTGGTAGGGGAAGACTTTATCCCAAGTGACTAATTTTCTTTCTTAAAAGGTTTTCTTTTAAATTTGAGGTTATAATATAATTATATCATTTCTCCCTTCCCTTTCCCCCCAAATGACTAAATTTAAAGGTTCTGTGTAGCCAATGTCTTACTATCATGATATCTAGGAAATTCTTGGCTTATTGAATCTACCGGCTGTGCATCTCCTCCTGCATGTGTACTTTGAAACACACACACGCACACACACACACACACACACACACACACACACACACACACACACGCATACACACACACACACACACACACACACACACACACACACACACACACACACACGGTGGGGGAGTAGGAGGGAGAGGATACAAAGTGCCAGGCATCAGAATCTTACTTTTGCTGTATTCATATTTAACTTTAAATATTACCTTTAAACTTAGATTAAAACATAAATAGCTGAGAATATGACATATAAAAGTTTTTCTCTGGTTTTCCAACAGGATGCAGTTCTTTACCAGTATGTATTTGTAAGTGAAAGGGAACTCACCATCTGAGCTCTTGTTCACTTGTCCTTAGGGTTATTGGGGCTTTGGGCAGTCCTTCCTGATGACAGGAAGAGGTGTCAGAAGGCCTCTCCCCATCAGGGGGAGGGTGACATGAAAACCTAACGCTGCGTTGTTCAGACTAATAGAGCATGCTTGAACAATACTTTCTCGGATCACGGCTGAGGAAGGAAAGAATGTGTTCAGCAACCCCCCCTCCCCCCCATGGAGTGGATGTTCTGTAAAGCAGAAACAGGATACCTGTAAAGTTGCCAAGGCAACATCACGGGTAGAGGAAGAGTAGACAGAATGATTTATGAGGGTTTCTTACCTTAGGAATGAGTCTAAAAATAAATATCCATGTTTCTCCCTCACGAAGATAAATGCTGTAGGACTTCTTTTGAGAATCGTGATCATGGAAGTTGAGGCTCCAGCCCCGGGAAGGGAGGGATCAGGGGAGACGCAGAAGCAGTTCTGAGAGGTGCTCCTGTTGTGCCTTTAGCCCTAACTGAACAGACCTGATGGAAAACTGGTTTTTATAAGGTGATACAAATGCTGTGTATTTAAAATATGCCTAGAAAAAAAGACTACTTACAGATGTATAGTGAAGATATTTTATTCCTTGATTAAAAATAAAAAGCATCCCCTTAGCTGCTACTTTAGCAGCTTTTCAGAGACTTGCATCTCAGCATGTTAAATGGCAGCAGAGATAGGAGTTATGTTTTATTTATGAATGGCCAGGAAAGAAGCTCTTGGTACAGTTTTGGTTTCCCTTGCCATTCATTTTTGGCATCCTGTAATTAACCAGCTTTACCAAATACCCATGTTGACTTTCATTTTTACAAACTGCTATGTTGGTGACTGGCTCAGGTCTACATTGCTGCCTGTCTTAGTCAGGGTTACTACGGCTGTGATGAAACATGACCAAAGCAACTTGGGGAGGAAAGGATTTGTTCAGCTTGTGCTTCCTCATCACTGTCCATCACTAAAGGAAGTCAGGGCAGGAACTCAAGCAAGGTAGGAACCTGGAGTCGGAATCCAATGTAGAGGCCATGGAGGGATGCTGCTTACTGACTTACTCCACATGGCTTGCTCAGCCTGCTTTGTTATGGAAACCAGGACCACCAGCCTAGGGGTTGGCACCACCCACAATGGGCTGGACCCTCCCCCATCAATCACTAATTAAGAAAATGCCCTATAGGCTTTCCTACATCCAGATCTTATGGAGGCATTTTTTAAAATTGAGTTCCCTTCTCTCAGATCACTTGTATCAAGTTGACATAAAACTAGCAAGCACAACTGACCCCTTCTCAACTTGACAAAAAGTGCATCATTTTTCAATTAGAACCTTTCCTTTCACATTTATCCCCAAGATGACATATTAATATGAAACTCACAATATAAAACTTAAATAAGTTTAAAAGTCCCACATATTTACAAATTCATGCACATTAAAAGTTCAGTCTCTTTAAAGACCCCAAATCTCTTTTAAAAGTTCAAGTCTCTCAACTGTGCATTCCTGTAAAATCAAAATTAAGTTAAATACTTTCTTACTTCAAGAGGGAAGAACCAGGGTACAGTCACAACCTTGAACAAAGCAAAACCAAACTCTGTGTGAGTAACTGAATGTCCCATATCTGGGATTCCTTCATGATCCTCCCAAGGGCTTCGGTCACTTCTCTTACTCCACCTTCTGCAGCACACACGGCTTGTCTTCTACATTCCTGCTGGCTCTCCTCCACTGCTGCTGCTGTTTCTAGTGGTCATGTCATCATACTGGCATCTCCAAAATGCTGGGGTCTCTGGCTGCAACTGGGCTGCACCAGTAGCCTGAGCTTTCTTTATGATGCCAAGCTTCAACCTCTTTGCATGACCCCTTCAGTCCTGGGCCTTCAACTGCCACTGAGGCTGCACATTTCCAGTGTCCTTGCCTGGTCTTTCCCAGTGCCAAGCCTTAGCTACTCTCCATGACCTCTTTATACCTTCAAAACCAGCACCATGTGGGTAACTCTTACATGTGACCAAGTTGAGCTGCCAACACAAGTTATAGCCATGGCTGCCTCTGGACCAGAGATGCTGTGTGCTGACCCTGAGGAAACACTTCCCAGAGGATTTCACCTAAATGATGCTGGTGTCTTCTGAATCACCACTAATTTCTCAGATCTAGCTGACCATCATTGAACTTCCCAGCAAACCAAAGGTTTCACTTATATGATTCTAATATCTTGTTAATTACAGATGATTCTTCAGCCCCAGCTAACCAGAACCACATAATATTAATTCGAAATAGCAAATGGCCCCAATAGAGTCTTTAAACTTCCCTCTAAAATTTCACAAAGAGAAATGACTCACCCTTCTTTAACAGCTATCAGTTGCCAGTAGCACCTCAACTAGGGTTGAAGCCTCCTGAACCTATCATCCAACCAGACAGGACTATTGACTGCCTTTTCTGTGCAGGTCTTGTGCAGGTAACCATAGCTGCCGTGAGGTCGTGAGTGCAATGACTATGTCCCATGCAGAAGACAACATTTTATAGCACTCACTCTTCCCCATCCTCTGCTCCTTATATTCCTTCCCCCTTCTTCTGTGATGTTCCCTGAGCTTTGGAGGTAGAATAAATATCTGATTCAGGGTTGAACACTCAATTGTCACTTATTCTCAGCCCATTGACCAGTTATGAGTCTCTGCATTGCTTGATACCTACTGCAAAAAGCCAAGTTTGAGAACATCACTAATCTATGGTGCACACATTAATATGTTAGAAGGCAATTTGAAATTTCCACTGAGCAAAATAATAGCAGTAGGTATCTAAGACCTATGCTTTCCTTAGCCATAGGCCTTGACTGGGTTTATATTCCTAGGCATAAATTCTTTTCTGTGGAGCAGGCCCCAGGAAACCATTGGTTATTCCTAACAGTCATGCCACTATTGTACCAATGGGCACAGTTTACCAATGGGCAGGCATGCTAGCATCTGGGGTATAAATTGACACCTGCCTTTCTGAGTCTGTGTTCCAGTTCCTCATCTTCGTGGGACTTTGCTATGGTTCTGGGAATTCCGGTCATCAGAAACAAGTGATTTCTCAGGGAATAAAAATAAATGAGTTAAGTGCTAGAGAGATGGCTTAGTAGTTAAGAGCACTCAGTGTTCTTGCAGAGGGCAGGGATTCAGTTCCTAACACCTACGCAGTGGCTACAGCCTTCATCTGTAACTGCAGTTCTAGGGACTTGATGTTCTCCTTTGCCCTCCTTTGATGCTGTGTGCATGTAGTACACATACATACATGCAGACCAAACACACACACACACACACACACACACACACACACACACACACACACACACAAACACGCACGCACGTGCGCGCACGCGCGCCCGCACGCACGCACGCATGCACACACACACGCGTAGGCACACACATACATAAACACACACATACATAAATACGCACACACAGGTGCACATGTGCACACACAGGCACACACACACAGAGGCACGCACACACACAAACACACACACGTAAACATGCACACACAGGAACACACAGGCGCACACACATGCACGCACGCACACACATGCACACATACTCTTGAGAAACAAATAGAACGCTTTACTGATACAGTCAACCTTTCTCATTCTTCTCCCTTTTTCCTTTCTATTTTTTTCAGTGAGCATGTTTTTGAACACGTTAACACCGAAGTTCTACGTGGCCCTGACAGGCACTTCCTCACTGATATCAGGACTTATTTTGGTAAGTGATGGAAATCTTCTAATGTAAAAACGTCTTAACATGTATGTTAGTGTATTTTCAAGGAAAGAATCTGGGAGAGCATGCACAGGCAGTTTTCAGTATCCATCTTGCACGTGTGTACCTGTTGCATAGGGATGAAGGGAAGGATTTTTACTGCCCAGGTCATGTGCTCTGGGTATTTGAAAGCAATCCTCTCTTTTGTGGAAAGGTAAAACAACTCTTAACGTGGAAGAATATAACAGAAGATGCTTCTAGGACAAATTCTAGTATCCTAACAAATAAAGTGTGCTGGGGCCATAGCTCAGTGGTAGAAAACTTGCTTCATATTCATGAAGCCCTGCATTCATTCCCTATCGCCACAAACATTAGACAGATAGACATACAGACAGACAGATATTGCTGATTAATAAAAATGCCTCAGTTCAACTAAGACCATTTTTCATGTATTTATCTTAATAGATTACTGGAATTAATATCAGTAGGGATATTGCTTTTTGCTTTTAAATATGTCGGTATGGATTGTGGCTGTCATAAACTTTTCTTTTCTTCATCTTCTTTTCTCTTAATGTTGACATATGTTTATTGCTTCCTTTAAAATCTCAAATAGTACAAAATCTCACTTGTGCAACTTCATTATCATATATTCTATAATAGTTGTAGATATGCAAGATTATATTACCTAACATAGTTCACTGGAGTGAACATTATGGGACTGTCTGAACTCAATGAGACCTTTCTCACTTAATCTAATGATCTTTAAGGGAGAGAAATTTTGAAAAGATTTTTTTTACTATGCACAATCTGTGATTATTAACAATTGTAGAAATAGGCACTTGTAAAAGATTACAGAGTTAATATTAATAAAAATGAATTATTAGTAGAAATTTAAGGGGAGATGGGTACACACATATCGAGCAAAGAGAATGCACTGGCCTGAAATAATGAAAGATTTCAGAGGCCTGAGCACATAAGATGGAGAAAGGCAGATTCTCCAAACAGGCAGAAGTAGAAAATGGCAGTGCGGGAGCATTCTTCTGAGATGAGAGCATATCTGTATTCAACTTGTTATGTCTATATCACATGGGTTATGTGAAGTGTGCAAAGTTGGTTTTATGGAGTTAGGATGTGAAGAAAATCAGCAGGAGCCACCCCAAGATATAAATCTATGTAGAAAGCCTAGATCTGGGTGCAAACCCCAGCTCGAGGCAAGGGGACATATCCTAAAACTCATCCGTAAAAGGGAGGTGTTGTAGTTCTGGCCTCTTAAGCATTCATGGCCCACACATGCATCTCTGACATCTCAGCTCTGTTCAGGAAAGCTGAGAAAAGTCAGGGTACTGCTATGGAGAGTTGTTAGAAAGCCATGAGGTTGGTTATTAGGTATTCTACCCAGACACTGTATTTTATTCTACCATTGGCTTCCTCCTGGTTTTTAATGTTAAAATTCTTTTGTGAAATAATAGTGATTATGTATGGTGTTATTTTCCTATACTCAGCAGTGAAATTGTAGCAATGCCACATTCATCTTCAGCCTTGGTGAGGTGATTGGAGAACTGAGGATTTTAATAGCACATGAAACCTGATCATCCGGAAACCATGGTAGTGAGAGATCACCAACTGCAGGAATTCAACTGATCAACAAAAAGAGAGTAAAATTAAATGAAAATATTTGGAATCTGATTAGGGCAGGGAATAAAGGAGAAAAATGTTTTGATAATCTCTAAATGTTCTCCAAGGTAGGGACTTAGGGCAGAGAGAGATAATCAGATGACTGGGTTGAACAAAGCCAGCAGAAACTGCACTGCTAGGAAACCTCATGGGAAAAATCAGCTAAATAACAGAAATGTGAGAATGAATCACTCTAAAAGCTTCTCTTTTCTTGATGAAGGAGAAGGTTTTTCATTAGGGGGTGCACGCTTGGTACTTAGGGCTAGGTAGGAGATTGTATTAGCCTGCCAGGAGCTGTTCAGTAGTCAAAAGACAAGTCATGGGCAATACTGGAAAGTAACAAAAAGGGAGTCATGACCAGCCTCCTCGTGGCTGAGGAGGAAGACTACAGGGCCAGCAGTGTGGACTTTCTAGGACTCCGAGTCGTTAGATCCAAGCCTTTATTTTTCAGGTGGGAAATTTGAGACTTCTCAAGGAAAGAAAAGAAGCTCTTGGGATTCACCTCTTGCAATTACATTGTGGCAAGGTAGTCAGGCTTCCAACCTCCATTTTCAAGTTCCCATTGTGGTATTTGTCTGCTGAGTAAGGAGACTGCAGACATGGAAAATGCTTTCTTTTGCTTGATAAATTCCTGTTAAGTACATTCTGAAAAGGTTTTTTTTTTTTTTTTTTTTTTTTTTGGTTTTTCGAGACAGGGTTTCTCTGTGTAGCTTTGCGCCTCTCCTGGGACTCACTTGGTATTCCAGGCTGGCCTCGAACTCACAGAGATCTGCCTGGCTCTGCCTCCCGAGTGCTGGGATTAAAGGCGTGTGCCACCACCGCCTGGCTCTGAAAAGGTATTTTATAACACACACAATGTATGTTGTGCAGTAAGAGGGGACAGATATTTTAAATATTTGATCGTTACCCTTTACATCTTATTTTATAATTTATTTATTTTTTGTTTTCTTTGAGACAGGGTTTCCCTGTGTAGCCCTGGCTGTTCTGGAACTTGCTCTGTAGACCAGGCTGGCTTCAAACTCATAGGTAGATCTGCCTGCCTCTGTCTCCCAAGTGCTAGGATTAAAGGCGTGTGCCACCACCGCCTGGCCATTTACACTTTAAAGAATAAATTTTTAATATTTTCTTTATGATATAGCCTTGAAATACTTTTGATTAAAGAAATAGGAAAGGCAAACTTTGAGGAAGGGGCATATGATTTACACCGAATCCAGCAATTTGCTGGACTGGGGAAAGTCAGTTTTGTCCACGCATTCCTGGTCTCAGAAGGCTCCTTTGAGAACCCAGCCTGCTCTCATGATGTGCGCTGCGCCTGGCACTGATTCCGGCCACTCATTTCCTCTGTGTAGCAGCACAGTTGCTGCAGCTCTTGTTCTGTACTTCAAACCAGGCAAATCAGTAACCTGCTGTCGGGCTCCACTGCTGCAAAGGGCAGAACAGGAGCGGAGGCCGGACTGTCTCACACCGGAGTCTGTCTTTCCTTCCTCACATCACTGCTGTTCGTTAAGTGCCAGCTGCCGTTAGCCTGCTCCATAAAGGTGGTTCTGGGTTTCATTCTGGTAGTGTCTTGCTGAGGGTTTACAGGCTGTAAATTAATTGCCGCAGCGGAGGGTATTTTCTTTCATTCTGGTTAGTCAGCTCAAGGGCTGTGAGTCCTCTAACTCAGGGATGACTGAAGAACCCGCCAGTAAAGGGATTTCCGGGGCCTCACAGCTGCCTTCGCAGATCTGGGCTGGTCACGCTTTCTCCTGTGTTTGGCATGCAGCTGCTGAAACTGCATGGCTACTGCTGGGTAGAAGCCGAAACTGTTTTGGATTGATGAAATGTCCAGAACAGACTAACCTTGTCATGTAGGGAGGATGTGAATGGCCTTTCTAAAAATATTGGCCTTTTCTGAGGGCATACCTGTACTGTGTAGTAATAGCTATTGATTACCCCCGGTTCCTGCATCTGAGATGATTGACAGGGGTGTCTATCACATTGTCCCTAGGGACTCCACTTTGCGAGGCTTTAAAATGAGTTTAGGGTTAGATTTCTGTGCTTGCTGCTGCTTTTTCTTCTGAGTGTATTTCCAGGAGTAGCAAAGAGTTAGATGCTTTTCCAAATGGCTGTGTGCATGGAATGCTGAGCAGTTTGCTGCAGGCATCAGGGAGACTAATTGTCTAGCTAGCCGCTTTCCCCAGCGATGCCTGGGTGCCTGCCACACACTCCGAGTCCAGGGCTGCTCCTGGAAACTGGCTGTCTGAGAACCGTAAGACTCCTATGCTAGAGTCAGAAATCACCGTGTCATTTGAAGTTAAAGAGGACAGGTAAAAACGAAAGCCTTCTATTTCCACTGTGAAGAAAAAGTCAATACATAGAAATAAAAAATAATTTGTCAAAAGCTGCTTTTACTTTAATTTTTTTAAAAATAGATACATATTTGACTAGACATATCTGACTGGTAGTTTTTCTTTACTAGTTGAGATTGGCAGTGAATTTGCCAAGTTACCTGTCTCTTGCTCTTCTCTGCCATTCCTGTGGCCACCCATGCACGCAGCCTGTTCCTGCTTGACTTCATGGTGCCTCTTTGCCTGCCTGGCATGAGTTCCCCCCCATAGACTGGCTCCTGCCACAGGAAAGGCACCTGTCCTCACACTCTAAACCTGCCAGCTCCACTCTGGATCTCCTATCAAGGCGTATCCAGTCTGCATGAGCAGTACCTTCAGGCAATGCTCATTTCAAAGAAGGAAGCATTGGGGTTTTGTTTTGTTTTGTTTTTTGCTTTGAAAATAGAACGTTGGGCATGTAGAGAAAATAATCACCCAAATTGTTGGTAGAGAAATTGCTGTTTATAATATTCGAATTTATACATGGATCATTGTATCCCTATTAACTTGTGTATAGATGTGCCCCTGTGCCTTTATTTATGTATATATAACATGCATATATATTATATGGAAAGGTGTACAAAGCATGCAAGGCATACTTTTGAAAGTTAGACTAAGTAACGGAGAAAATGAGCATAAAAATTAAAAATACCGGTTCATGGGTGGGTGTAAAAGAAACGTCCTTTTGGAACGTGGCAGAAGGGATGGCGCTGGGAAGAATTCAGTTGCAATTCATGTTTATTGGTGTCCTTGTTCAGATCTCGTTCTGAAGCCACATTGTTGAGGTATCATGGATGAAGCATCCTTGTCATTTCTAGAGATACAATCTCACAGCTGATTCCCTGGTTCTATGGCTTTTGCAATCTTTCTCATCCCTCTTCCATGATGTTCCCTGAGCCTCGGGTGTTGCAAATGTATCAACTGGGGCTAGACTCCCCATGACGGGTTGTTCTCTGTATTTTG